CCTCTTTTCCCCCATCCCCATCTCCATCTCGTCATCAACCACGTACCTACCGTCTCCACGGCACCACTATCGTGTTGGGCCACTCTTGTATGCAATTGCCATAGGAAGTGAGGTCTTCCCGCGCGCGGGCTGGTACATATGCCGCCTTCGATGCTGACTGAGACAGGGAGGACCCCACGGGAAGAGAACGGAAAACAGAGGAATTCGAGGAAATGGGAGGTCAGGATTCTTCTTTTAGGTTCTTGCGAGGTTAGGGATTCTTCTTCTTGGAGGGTAAAGGTAAGGGTGGCGGTGAAAGGTTGGTCGCCTTCAACCCATCCATCCATCCATTCATCCATCCATCCATCTGTGACTACCCTACACTTTCGATCACCGTCGGCAGCAGAGGCAAAGGTGAAAGCTCTATACGAGTGTGCATAATATACCTCTAGGGATGGCTGGCGCTGGCGGCGAGGGGTTCGGTGAAACGTTGCGCAGCGCGCGCCGCGCGGGCCATAGATGGAGCGGTGGAAGTCAAACTTTAGCAATTTAGCGGGAGATAGATGGTCGAGTTGGAGGAGTGGGAGAAGGGGGTTGCCGTTCTCTTTCTAGAGGACTGGGATATTGGGTGATGGTGGTATTGGCGTAGGGACCGGCCCTGCCGGGAGTGTTTGGGCTGCGGGAGATGGTGCGCTTGTTGGTGGTGGTGGTTTCGTTGCTGCCGAGGGGAGGGACAAGAGGATGGGTGGATGATAAGATTGCTGGGAAGCAGGATGGAGAAAAGGTCGGTCCATGGCTGTGGCTGTTGATGCTTGCCGTAGAGGACGAGGTAAAGAGGAGTTTGGTGTTGGTTGAGCATTAATGAGAGTGGTGTTGGTGGATGCCATGATACCGTATATACCGAACCTTGGATGTCCGTCTTCTGTTTGCGGAACAAACACAAACCTGGCATCTCCGAGCAGATGCCAAACCACAACATAGTGCTTTTGTTGGAGATAGTCATAGCAGGGGCATAATAGCATGCTAGTGTCGGGGGGAAGTGGGTGTTCGGGGAAGATCAGAATAATGGGCTGATGATGTCGTCCGAGAGCCCTGGGACTCCTGGGACTTCCCTTCTCTTAGTGGAAAACACACCTGACATCCAATAACCAGAAGTTCAGCCGTTATCCGTTGAAGTCCCATATGATCCTGTGTGTTGTGTTCAAGATGTTCAAGATCGCCTGGAAGCAACTATAAGATGCCTGTGTTGGCCTGTTTCATCTTGATGTAGTGCGGAAAGTACCCGGGCCGAAGCGGGATGTAAGGACCCCGAAGTCGGTTGGGCAAGTGCCGCAATCAAAGCTGTGTGTTGAGTATTATTAGCCTGGCCAGGTAACATGGATCCGTGTATTTGACTTCGGACAGACAACATGGAAAAGCCCGAGAGGGTTGCTAACAAGATCCGGGTCTTGTTAGCTTTGATAGTTGTGAGCGTGCGTGTCAGAGGACAGTTCGCGGACGGGACACCAGAAGTAGCGACCGATGCGAGACGAGGATTGGGGACGCATTAAGGAAACCTGAAATACTGATAGGAAATAAAATTCGTGTGTCTCGTCATTGCCCAGATATAAAGCGGCATTCATATGTACTCCAAACTGCAACGGATCTCGCCGACCTCATCCCCTCAAAGCTCAAAAGCTATCCGTCCTACCGGTCAATGTGGCTCCACCAACTGTTCCCACCATTGAGATGCCTATTCCGGCTTGCGACCCCATGCAACACGTGCCATGATATACCCGTGGATGTTGGGATTATTCATGTCCCTTCTCACGTGACGGGTAAAGGCTTTCGCTTCATCCGGTGTCCAACCAAGGACGTTGTTCCAGATGTAGTTGACGTAACCTAGAGCGTATTATCAGAATTGACTGGATGAAGTCGCATTCAGGAAGCGGGAGGTGAAAGAGTTGCAACGGTGTTCTTGACGAGCGAGCTTACCTTCAAGATCCGCCTCAATGGCCATCTTCCACCAAACACCAATTTCCGCGAGTTCCTTATCAGAGTGCCATCCGCCATACGGGAGTTTGATATCCTTGAACTCAATATCAACAAACCCAGCTGCCTCCATTCCTTTCCGCTGGAGATCTTCTTCGTATATTGTAAACGTTCTTCCAAGCTTTTTGCCACCTTCGCGAAAGACCTTGCCCCATTGCTCAAGAGCACTACCTTCCTTTACTGTCCCGTCGTCAGACAGCATATGACATCCTGTATCATAACTTTCCACATAGCTTCCAGGCTTAGCGACTCGATAGGCGTTCCTGAAGAGGGCATACCAATCGTCAACAATACCTACAAGTAGACGAAGGTTAACGAAGTCGAATGTATTTTCGGGCCAGGTCCATTCTTGGTTGCAATCCTCTAGCTCAAACTTAACGTTCGGGGGTACCCAAGAAGGCTGGATAGGAGAGACATCAGTTCCTATAACTTCAGCATTGGGAAACTCGTCGGCAAAGTCGCTAAATATGCAATTGAGTTAGCCATCCATGTGCGGCCAAGTAAGTCGTCTAACAGGCACCTGAGTCGATCAGGATTTAGAAGATGACGTTGAGGACAAAACCTACATGGCCCACAGGCCAGCACCCGTCGCAACATCCAGTACCTTCTGAACCTTCTTTGGTTCGAGAGGCGACGAAAATAACTTCCCTCCCAGTGTGACCATAACGGCGTGATGCCTTCTCCGGCTGTTAGTTGTTGATCCGAGAAGGTAGGGATGCGTTGCCAGAGAATTGTGCAGAAACTTACACGAGCTCCATCGCATCAAGGTGGCGTTGGTCATTGGGCTGCCATGCCTCGGCCCTGCCCATTTCAGCGTGATATGTTCTCCCGTGAACTTCGCGGTAGTGAAAAATGCTCGAGCTTATGGAAGCTGTGGTGGAATTAAATGAGCCGAGGCTAGATGCCCCATCGTTGACATCCTCTTCGGGAAGCTGCAAACATGGGTGGACTTATCAGCAAGTGCAAGCCAACTTTGTGACTAGGAACGCTCGAGGTAGTTACCGGTTGCTCTGTCCAGTGGGTTGCAGGAAGAATGCCAGCTGCGTTTTGCGCCTCGGCGCTGAGCGGGGCCGGGGCAGCTGCGGGTGCCGGGGAAGTTGCAGGGGCCGGGGAAGTTGCGGGTGCCGGCGAGGTCGCTTTGCCCGTGGGGCTTTTTGGACTCTTGGGGCTTCGGGGGCTTTGCGCGCTGGAACTCATGGTTGTGACGGCGGCAAGGACAGCCGAGTCGGTTCGGTGTCGGGGGAGCGAGAGTAAAGATACCAGAAGCACTGGGGAAAAAATGTGTGGCGTCGTAAGTTGAGGACTTGGGACTTGGGAGAGAGTCGTTCCATGGGCAGGTCTTTGTACCATTTTGGTGGAGAGGAGTATCGTACGGCAAAGGCAAGAGCGTACAGTCCCTTTCATGGTCGCGTTACTGTGAAGCGCGCACGAGAGACCACAAATCGCTAAAGTTCCTTCCTGATGCGGTCCAAGGGCAATGCAATTGGTGAGACTGTCGTGGAAGACTGGGTTCTGGATTTCCAGGGGTGTATATCCGACCAATCGACAGGTGCCAAACATCGCTTCTGCAAGCTGCGGGATCCAAATAGCTTGTGTTTGCTATGCCATGGCTGTGGTATCCTGCAGTCCCCTGCCACCGAACGTTGTAATGTCTCAAGGTCGGTCGCCGGATCAACAGTTGAATCCACCAAAGAGCGTTACATTCTTCAGTGGCCGTCAGGATGCTCACCCCATTCGACTGTGCAAGCCAAGACGGGCACAGTAGCCGCCAAGCCGGGGATAAACCGTCCGCCGAATTGGAATCCGCAGTTCTTTGACCGGCACGGTTTCTACATCAACTTGGAGCGGCCCTGTTTCCCTGCAGCGGCCTGCACTAGTAGAGAGTAGGGGCTGCAGTTGCGTCTCAATCTGATCATGCGGCGTAGTGACGGGCTTCAAAAAGGCACATGTTGTCTCCATCGATGGACTGGCAGTGTTCAGCATGTGGTAGAGAAGTTTGTGATTTGATAAAGTTGACAGGGTTCACCCCGCCCGGCAACTTGATCCGGAGACAGTTGGGCACATCAAAATGTGATGGATCATGTTGAATGAATGGCGGGCGTCGGTTCCATTCGAGCATGAAGTTGTTCAAACGATCGAAGCGAGGAAGACTAATCGATTTTCGTATTGAAGTGGAACTAACGACGAGCATGAAGCGGTGGCGGTTGGGCTAGGCTGGAGAAGAGCTTTCTCTTGTGTCGAAGTGTCATCTATAATGCAAATATACAATGATAGAATTCTAAATGAAGAAAGGGGTGCGAAGGGGAAAACGACAAGATGAACATGGGGACCATACTCTTCTTGCTGTTTCTTTCACGTTGATGCGAATGAGTTGTGTGAAAGGAAAGAATAAGCAACATGTGAAAAATGACTTAGTCTTACATCTCGTTGGGATATGGGTCGTTTGCTGATATCAAGAGATGGCCATGAAATAAGCTTCGATTTCAACCATCGCATCTGATTGGTAAACCATACAGGATCGGGGTGGCCTGTCGCCCACTCCATCCTCTTCAGTCAATCTTGTCGTTAATCGTGTCGTTGCCTCTGATATTCTCGGTGGTGCCGTCCACAAGCTGAAAGTGGATGGAAATCTTGTCGAAGCTGATGATGAAATTCTTGAGCACCTGGGCTAAGGAGTGGGAGTTAGTTGATAGTCAGACAAATGGATGAGTTGGTAAGTGCAAAACACTTGAAACACTTTCCTTGCAGGGTTGGGAGGGATGGATCAGCCTCACGGACGGCTACAGAAGCTTATAACTGTCATACCCGTTGGTATCGACCGTTAGGATACCTGTTCGGTTGTCGGATCGCTGCCAAATTTGAAACTCTGAATTTGAAGGGCTTGGGAGTGATGCTGTACGACACGACGTGATGCCATGGTTGGTTTGCTTGAGTGGTGAGATGATTGGTGAGTTGAGATCTGAACTGAGGCTCACTTTTGACGTCGGTCGGTATTACAAACCCCAGATGGGAATCTCGATGGCAGTGAAAAGAGCGTCGCTGAACTCGACAATGATTTCTTTGGTAGCAAAATCCATTGCGATCAGTAGGAGTAGTCTTGATGTTGTTTGACCGGTGTGATTGATTCAGGTTGTATTGGTGATGCAACCGGCTTGAGTGCATAAGTTTGAATGGTGCAAAGTTGTTATTTGGGAAAAGAAGGAGAAGGCAGGTGGTCTTGATGAAAGATTCTCGAGGTTGCTGGCACGGGGGCACAAGGCTGGGCAAGGTAGTATGCAGTCGGCTGGAGGGCCCGGCAGGGTGTTGACAAGGGGGGGCATCAATGTCGTTCAAGTTTGATTCCAAGAGCCGTACGGGCCTAAGCCACAGGACAGTCCAAAATCATCTAGCCTTCTGAGTGTTCTCTGGGACCTACTCTGGCTTCCGTCCCCATGCACTGCGTGCCATAACATAACCGTGAATATTAGGATTATTCCACTCTTTCTTGACTCGGTCGGCATACGACTTGGTCTCCTCCGGAGTCCACCCCACCACGATATTGAAGATGTAATTGAGGTATCCTGTCGAGAGACGTTAGCATTGACCCACTCAGGTCGCTGGTCGTGGAACGGTGGGGTGCTCGCTGCAAAACCGAGTGCTGGCTGCACATGCAAGCTTACCTTCAAGGTCCGCCTCGATAGCTAACTTCCACCATAGACCGATTTCCGCTGCTTCCTTCTCAGGATGCCAGACACCTATGGGCAAACAGTAGTCTCTATACTCAATGTCCACAAAGCCAGCAGCTGCCATAGCCTTGCGCTGAAGATCGTTCTCGTAAACCTCGAACGTTCGGCCGAACCTTCTTCCACCCTCATTAAAAACCTTGTGCCATTGTGACATGGCGCTGTCCTCTTTTAACGTACCGTCGTCGCATTGAAAAGTGGTGCAGGCGACCAACGTTTCGACGTAGCCTGCATGGGACTTGTGTGAGTGATTGTCAATGGACAATTGGTGGATGGAAGACGTCAGGGGGGGGGGGGGGGGTACGTACCACCCGGTTTACAAGTCCGGAAGGCCTGGCGATGGAACAAATACCAGTCATCGATAACGCCAACTAGCATGCGCGCATGGATAAAGTCAAAGGTGTTGGGTGGCCAGGTCCATTCTTGATTGCAATCATCAAGCTCAAACCTGACGTTGGCGGGCACCCAGGAAGGTTGAATAGGGGTGACATCGGTACCGACGACGTCGGCTTCGGGGAATTCGTCGGCAAAGTCACTAGACCGCACCAGACATACTGTTAGAAGGGCGATGGGGGCAGGTTATAGCTGCCAGGGCTCGAATCGCATGTCTGCCCTCGGGCGCAACATCACAAAGCGCTTCGAGACCTGACGAGTGCGCAAGATGTGTGGAGTAAGACTTACATTGCCCACAGACCACTTCCTGTGCCAATGTCCAACACCTTTCGCACCTTGTTCTTGTCGAGTGGAGCGCAATACAACCTGTGGCCCATGGTGACCATATAAGCGTGGTGGCTGTTACCATGGTCAGCATATACAACCAAACCTGTCGGTACTTGAATGGGCAGGTATCTACGCAATCTCCATTGCATCAATATGACGCTCATCATTGGGTTCCCACGATTCTGCATTGCCGAGATCGCTGTGGTAGGTTCTTCCATGGATATGGCGATACTGAAAGATGGACTCGGTGAGCGATGCGGTCCTGGCCCTGGGGACAACATCTTCGTCGTTTTCGTCGTCTGTGAATTGCTGTTGCCAATGTGAGGCAGGGAGAATACCCATTGCGGTTTGCTCCTCATTGCTGAGCAACATGGATATGGGAACCTTTCTGGGCCCGTCTGCCGACGACGATGCCGTATTATTGGGACCACCATTGGGGAAGTTGGTGTTGTGAGCCATCATGATGCTGGTGGTTTTGACGAGTGAAACAATACGTGGAACGAGGTGTCGGCAAGGTGGATGTTGAGGATGGACGGCCGCAGTTTGGTTTTGTGTTCGAGGCCAATTACATATGAACAGCGAGAGCAGGAGGGGTCCTGTACAGTTGCTAGCGTTCTCTCCACTGTGAAGAACGCAACCTAAGGGAAAGAGCGGGACCCACGCGGATGCTCCGCGATGCCTTCTTGTGGGACTGGCATGGATCACTGGCTGACTCGCTGCCTGTACTTATTCCCTTGTGAGACTGGACTGTCAATAAATCTTTGCAAGCAGGAAAGAGGAAGTAGTATAGGAAGAGCGGCGAATCTGAAGGGTTGGATTTTACCCAAGGTACCAAGGCAGGCAGGCACACTTGGCCAGACTAGGTAGTAGGAGTAGGTCGCTTTCATTTTTTGGTGTGCTTGGTAACTGAAAGAAAAGAAAGGGTGCTGGACCCAGAGGCACGTGGCAGGGAGACTATCAACGTCTCTTCAGTTGCCGTGATGTGATGTGCCAAGCACTTGGCGCCAAGATGCTCCCTAACATGTACGGGCACCGAAGCCTCTCGGCCCTCATTTTATGCAACCTGGGGCAACCTATTTCCCTTGCATCATACGGTAGGTAGTTGCGGAGTTGACGGGGCCATCCTACCACTTGAAGGGTGGTGTACAATTCGACCACGAGAATTTGGCATTGGACGTGAACTGAAGTGGATCACTATACTTACATGCCTTTTACGCTTATCTTCTCCAGGTGAGTGCTGCCAAGTGGGAGCATCATAAATTCATCACCTGCTATCATTCCCGCTGTCAAGGTGCCGTTTGGGTGGTGATAAAATCGACTGCCGTCGTGTGATTGTGTTCGGACGGGTTGCAGGTTGGAGGAGGTGGCATCATTTTGGACGTCGTTGTCCACCGTACTCAATGTTAGCGTCTATGTACTTTGTAGGGACACAAAGTCCGGACTATGGTAGTATCCAGATCTCCGGGAAACGGGTCAGAAATAAGAGATCAGACATTATGATTCATGATTGCAGTTATGTGTGCAACTTCGGCCAGTCCCGCCAGCCTTTAAATGCTTTGGCTGTAGCCAAATAAAACCTGACTGGCCGTGGATGCGCCCGCCGAGTCATGGCAGATCAAATAGCGCGAGGCCGAAGTGAGTATTTTCCCCGATAGCTCCAGATTTCCGAACTCTCCGAGCCCCAGTAAATTTCGATATTTCATTGACTGTCATGTCAAACGAACCCTCCCGGAACGTATGCATAAAAAGCAAGATGTGCATTTGCGTAAGCAGTCTACATGATGTGTAGCGGCGTCGTGTAACCGAACACCCCCAAAGAATAGGTCATATCACCATGTGGTTGTTGATTATCCAAAGATTTTCCCACCCGATGAGAACTCGTCCAGTGATTTTCTCCAGCTCTCTGTCCAAAAGAGTTCTTACTCTGGCTTGCGACCCCATACAGAACGCGCCTTGAAGTAGCCGTGGATCTTGGGGTTGTTGAGCTCCTTCCTAAGGTGAGCGGCATAGACGGCAGTCTCAGCCGGAGTCCACCCCATCACCGCATTGAACGGGTAATTCAGGTATCCTGAGTAACCACACATTAGTATAAGCTCGGCATGTCTCCTGCCTCAACTTTGCCATGATGCAGACGTACCTTCAAGGTCACTCTCCATCATAATCTTCCACCAAAGGCCCTTTTCGGCCAGGTTCTTGTCCTGGTGCCAAACACCAACAGGGATGTAGTACTCTTGGACTTGAATATCCACAAAGCCCGCCGCCTCCATGCCTTTCCGCTGAAGATCGTGATCGTAAACTTCGAACGTCCTGCCCATCTTCTTTCCGGCCGCGTTCCATACTCTATGCCACTGGGCCATAGCGCTATCATCCTTCACCGACCCGTCGTCACTGAAAAATGTACCACATTTGATAAAACTTTCGGTATAGCCACCGGGCTTGCAGGTACGGTAAGCTTGACGAAATAGGGCTTCCCAGTCCTCGATAAGACCGAACATCATACGCAGATGTACAAAGTCGAAGGTATTGTCGGGCCAAGTCCACTCTCTATTGCAATCGTCGAGTTCAAACTTTACATTGGCCGGAATCCAGGAGGGTTGGATGGGGGTAATATCGGTTCCGATTACTTCAGTATTCGGAAATTCATCGGCGAAATCGCTGGACAGAGGCAACATTAGGCGACGCATTTGTGGCGAAGCTTTGGAAGACTCACATTGCCCATAAGCCCGTTCCAGTCCCGATATCGACAACCTTCTGAACTTTCTTTTTGTCGAGGGGGGCCATGTAGAGCTTTCCATCCATAACTACCGTATATGCGTGATGACTGTTTTTCATGATTTAGATTTGGCTGAACAATGAGGAAGGGGTGTACCGATAGAGCGTTGTGGTGATGACTTACGCAATGTCCAACGCGTCCTTATGACGCTCATCGTTGGGCTCCCAGGATTCAGCATTGCCCATCTCGCCGTGGTATGTTCTTCCGTGAATAGTGCGATACTCGAAAATGGTTGAGCTCAGCGAGGCGGTGCTGGACATGAATGATTCAATGGATGAAGCTGCATCATCATTGGGATCCTCTACGGTGGACTGCTGCTGCCAATGTGAGGCGGGAAGAATCCCGACAGCGGTTTGCTCCTCATTGCTGAGCAATGGCGCCTGCTGTGCAGTCTGGGCTGCCATGCTTGTGGTTCTGGTGGGCGAAACAACGAGAGCGGGGCAAGCTGAATGTTGAGAACAAAACCTGAAAGATGACAGACGGCTGAGCGTTCAAGTTTGGTTGTGGGTTCCGGGAGTAGAAAAGGAAACTGGACCACATCTTAAACAGCGACGGCGGGAGAGTTTGGGACGGCCAAAGATAAACATTGTTCACTGACTTTGTGCAGTCCCATACACTGTGAAGAATGCAACAGGCAACGCAAAGTTACAGGATGCCTTCCTTCCGCGGGCCTATGAGGACTTGGAGAGGCCATCATTGCCGGCGCCTGGTTTCTTGGTGTCAAAAAGAGACCGGGCACCGGACCAATTGACATGTGCCAGGCACGCTTTCTGCACCGCTACAGGATCCTGTAGCAATAGCGCCTCCTGACTATGCACGTTTTCACCTTTTGCCGTGACCAGGCGGTTATCGACTGCTGGAAACATTGCAACCTTTCCCCTCATCGCTTAAGAGGTTCAGGGCTGGTCCACGAGGAGACTCCGTGCGTGGAGGTGTGGAAAATGTAGAACCGTTCTGCTCAAGATTGAATTGAATATGGCCTGGATTACGTCTGGCAAGCGGCTGGCTTCTCCAACTCACAAAGTGTTTTGACATGCCGTCCGGGGTTGTAACGCCCAGTCCCGGGCACGGTAACCGCCCTTCGTGGGATGCAAAAATCACCTGAGTGACAAGGGGTTTTTGACCCTGCAGGCTGCAGTACAGTAGCAATCCCGCTGGGGAATACCGCAAAGGTTTAAATGTGGGAGAGGGGACACGTCGCATTCTTCCCAATGTCATGACTCCTCTGAAGGATATCGCAGCGCTGTTGGGCGAGCATTGACTGCGGACGATTGGCAGTGTGAACATGGTAGCAACCCGGTACTCCGAAGCAACGAAATGGCGTGGGGATACGCCAAGCACAACATTGACTTGTGCGCTCGGAATCAGATCAGAAGGTCGCGAGGAGGATCGGTGGTCGGAGGAGCTGCTGTGTTTTTCGGGGGAGTGATGCCATCTACAAGCCCGGTTAGCGTCTCAATTATTGAACAAGTGGGCGGGGGGTTGGCAGCTGCCTGGGGTGGGCAAGGTTGTAAAGGTTGTCGACGATAGATTGAATATACTCGGGGTGAGAGGGAGGAAAGAGGAGGAAGACTGGCCAGACCAGGATGTTTCCTGGAGGAGCGAGGAGGGCTGGTGGGTGCGCGGCCCGGGTCCAGGGCACAGTCGTTCCTGCCACAAGCATGCCGAGACCGGGACCGAGAACACAGCCCGGTACCCTCCCGACCCGTGCCTCGCCCCCACCACTTTTTTCAACCACGCTAGACCACCGGACTCGTACCTCCTAAAATGTACCAACAAGATATTGCACATTTCCCACAATACGGCTTCCGAAGTCCGATCTTTCTAGATTTCCCCTTAACTTCACTCACTGAAAGAAAAGTGATTTATAGACAAGATGAGATGCGCACCAAGTCCCCTACTTACAGTAGAGTCCACACAAGGTTCACCATGAACGTGGGATGAGGAGTCTTGTGTATGTGATTCGTAAAATGCGTACAGCTTGATAGTGCGGACCTACGGTTGTCATCGCAGTATAGATGGGTATTGTATCGAACCATCGGAATCCAACATGACAGGAAAAAGATGCTCGCTCTGACTTCTCCTGGACTAAACCCAGTGTCTTCGGTTCCCAATGGTAGTCGTCGGGAACTCTTTTGGGATGTGCTCCGATCCCCTCCACCACTTTATTCTGGCTTGCGGCCGTACACCACACGCAGCCAGAAATAGCCGTGCATCTTGGGATCGTTCCACTCCTTCTTGGCGTGGGCAGCAAACCTCTTGGTCTCCTCTGGAGTCCAGCCCATGACGAGATTGAGAAGGTAGTTTATGTATCCTGCCGAACGGGTTAGTTTACATCTGACATCTGGTTTTGACGAACGAGACTTACCCTCAAGGTCTTCTTCAACTGCTATCTTATACCAGAGCCCCCTCTCTGCCGCTTTCTTATCCGGATGCCAGACCCCCATGGGACATTGAATGTCCTTAAACTCAATGTCAACGAATCCGGCCGCTTCCATACCCTTCCGTTGCAAATCGTCCTCATACACAGTAAAAGGCCTTCCCAGTTTTTTGCCAGCCTCTCCAAAAACCTTGCCCCATTGATGCATAGCAGTACCTTCCTTAACCGATCCATCATCACTCAAGAAATGGATACCACTGCCAAGGCTCTCTACATAACCGCCCGGCTTACAACACCGGAACGCATTACGGAAGAGCTTATCCCAATCGGTAACAACTCCTGCCAACATGCGCATGTGGATGAAATCGAAGCTATCGTCGGCATATGTCCAGTCTAAATTGCAGTCGTCGATTTCGAACTTCACATTGGGAGGAACCCAGGAAGGCTGGATGGGGGAAACGTCGGTGCCAATGACTTCCGCGTTGGGGTATTCGTCGGCAAAATCACTACAACAAATCGCAAGCGTCGGTTAGTTAATATGGATTCGATCGAAATGGCGAAACCGATGACTTTTGTGATGGTTGTCTCATATTTGGCTGTACAAAGTCGATGCCAAGCTCGTGATGCATGGCTGTCTTTGTTGCAGGGACCCATCACATGGTCGCTTCAACCGGCTCGAATTGGATGAACAGAACTCGAGGGAAAACTTACATGGCCCACAAGCCACTGCCTGTTCCAACGTCGAGCACTTTATGAACCTTTTCTTATCAAGTGGTGAAAGGTAGAGCTGTCCATCCAGCTGAACCATCATGGCGTGGTGGCTTTTCGATGCATGATTCACGTCAGTATATGGTCAATTCCAATCCTGCGAAGCCATGAGTACAGTTGTCACTTACAAAATTTCCATGGCCTCGACGTGACGTTGGTCATTGGGCTCATATGCCTCGGCATTGCCAACATCACCGTGGTAAGTCCTTCCATGGATAGTGCGGTACTGAAAGATGGTCGAGCTTAAGGAAGCGGAGCTCGAAATGAAGGAGCCGAGTGAAGAGGCACCATCATCTACTGTAGCTTCTTCTTCGAGCTACGAACGACGAACGAGAGTGTTAATTCTTGTCATGGAAGATGCATTACACCTGTGACTTACAGGTTGAGCTGCCCAATGCGAAGCTGGGAGAAGACCAGCTGCGTTTTGTTCCTCGGCGGTGAGCGGTGTTGGGCCGGGACCAGGCGCGACGGGTGCTGGTGGGTTGGACGCTTGGTCGCTCTTGGGGCTTTTGGGACTGGACGCCATGTTCGCGACGCCGGGTAGGGAAAGTAATCAGAGGTAGACAGATGTCTGTGTCAAGGTCGTTGTGCCCGAAGCATGACAGGGTGGAACTTACTTAAGGAGGGGACTCGGGGGAAGCATTGTACTTAACACCGCAAAAGAGGCCATCAATTGGCACGCACAATGTGGTGTGATACAGTTATAGTGTTCAGTTCACTGTGGAAGATGCGCAAGAGACAAGGATTCTCTGGGATGCCTTCCTGTTTTGGGTCTAAGACCATGCAACTGGTAATACCCACCCGACCGCGCGATATCACCGGAACAGACGACAGCTGCGTTTGTCAATGATCAGGGGTCAACATACTAGACCAATCAACATGTCGGTCCGAAGAATCGCGTCTGCATGCTGTGGAGCCTTGAATCTCTGATATGTAGCTAGGTCCTCTTGCCAGGTTGATCCCCTTCCGTCATCCGTGTCGTGAAAGCTGGGGGGATCACGATTTTTCCCCGACTCTAGCCCAAACCAAGACCTTCGAGACTTGTCTGCGAACGCTCGTTGACTTCGGCGGCGGCCCCTTACAGAGTGGGCACAAATACCCAATGGTCGGAATCGTGGAGCCATCGCCTTTACAGGGTGAGAGTTCATCGGGAACGGTAACCGTCAGTGGAGGATGTGCGGCCTGTATTGGACGATGCGAACACTTAGGGTATTATATAGCGGTCGGAGTGGGAAGCCGTTGAGCCGTTGCCCCGCAGTGACTAATGGGATTGGGAACTGGAAAGTGGAAACCCGTTCAACTCGGATATTCGGAGATATTTTTATGCCTGCGAAATACCGCCAGTCAACTTCAATTAGTGCGGCCATGTGGGCATCCAGTCCCTTGACATTGTGTTTGCGTCGACGGCCACGCGGCATCAAAGCTGAGATTGGCGATTCCGCGTTTGTCGCGTCGTGTCAGCAATTGTCATCTTGAAGATGGGAAAACGCTGTACATCTGGAGTTTATTGAGATGACATACCATGTAGGCATGAAGCCATGATTTTGTCCGTCTCCCGGCTGAGCGTCTTGAACCAGGTGCTTCGACCAGAACGCACTTGGAACGATGACCCCGCCATTGACTATGCCCCGCGCACTAGCTATGCTCCTGACAGCGAACGGTCTCCACGACGCCTTCCTAATGCAGCCCTAGGGCGGGCGACAGACCGAGTAGGTGAAAGCATGATTCGCATCAGCGTCGTTGCTAGGGACGGGCCGATGAAAAAAAAGTAAAAAAGAACAATAAAAGAGTAAAAACGAGGAAAAATCAAGAGTCGAGCTTGTGTGGTTGATGATGATCGCCAGGCACGACCTGCTGAGGCCTGAGGGGGGGTTGTTGAATGACTCGGAGTGGCAAGGTGCAAGAGCTCCGCACGCGTGACGCGGGCCGTTGATTTCGGCGTGGAAGGCGGGGTACGGTACGGTACGGCCCGGTCGCGCCTGCCCCTCATCCCGCCGTCTTCCCGCCCTCCGGTTTCGCCCAGTGGGCCGCAGCTGCCTCAAATACAAACCAAAACACCGATGCAGATAAAGAAAAGCAATGAAGTCGGAAGGCAAAGCCAAGCCAAGCAAATTTTGGCCAGAATTTCGTTGTTTTGTGTAAAAAATAAAAATAATAAGGCAAAAGGCTTATCTGTGGGATCTTGAATTCGCTTTGTATCGAAACGCTTACAGCTCCGGAATACCGTATTTACACAACTTCATCAACTATATGTTTAGTGTATAATTTCGTTATGACGCAACAAAAACCCATACGAGCAACGAAAGCCCTGAAGCCATCACCAGAACGAATCTCTTGCTCCCCCATCCTGAAAGGACATTCCCTCCTTTCTTACCAACCGAGATCACCACCAATTAACTTATGCCACCAACTAACTTACGCTACAAACAACCACACCACCAACTGGAGGTAACTTACACTACCAACCATATTCATCACAAACCACAAACCATTATCACAAACCACATTCATCAACAATAAACAACAGACATCCTATGGCCTGCCGTCGGGGGTAAAAGGGCACTCAACGCTTCCAGTATCATTAGTATCATTTGACTTTGTTCGTGAACTTTGACCCGATTTGCTCCCCAATGAGTGTGCCCCCCCCCCGCCGTCTCTCTTCCCTTCTCCCCACAATTCTTTTTTTTTTTTTAAAAAAAAGAAAACCGGTAAAGAGTCTTGAGCAAAAGAGTCGCAAACAACCTTCATTCCGTCTTCTCTAGTTCATCTTCCTTCCTTATCCTATTACTTATATTTTTATTTATATTTCTTACTCTTCAATCGGTTTCATCCACATCGCTGCCCGGTTTACCCCCCTTTGACCCCCCGACCAAACCACAACGCACCGACACTGACAGCACCGAGACAGTTACGAGCAGCACCAATGACCAAGTGCGCAAACAAAAAAAAGATGTCTATATAGTGTAGGGGTACAATTCTGTTTAGATCTATGTAAATGCTCAGGCTCAGGCTCAGTCCTCGAATTCCAGTCGCGCGCGCCTCTCACAGGTGTCGAAACACCATTGAAATATCTGGACTTGCACACGTGGTTCTTGTCGAGGATGATTGAACCGGAAAGGTTGGTCCCTGGAAAACACACTTCTATGCAAAACGCTAGCATTTACCGTCAACTATCATGTGGTGTATACATCAACCCTTAAAAGTTTGTTAGCGCGGTTCATGTGACAGGGGTTTGCGAGACTTCACAGAAAAAATAACGGGACAACCACATTTAGGGCGTGATCCGTAGCGATTTTTTTTTTGGCGTTTTCATCGGGTGAAAGGGCTGGTGAAAATCGTGGTCCAAAACATTTTTTTCACTTTTGTACCTTTTGACCGGGTGAATAAGATGTTGTAACCCGGTGAGAAGAAATCCTCCACTTTTTGAACTCCTAGCCAACCAGAACTCAAAACCACTTTTTCACCGGGTGAATAGAAAAAAAGGTGTTTTGCAAGTTGCATCAACCACTGAATCCCCTGAGATAGTGCTGAAGCCGCTATAACCAGCCCAACTCCAACGTCAAAATACTAGAATTACCATTTGCACCAAAACCCGGTGAAAAAGCCTTTGCAATTGGTCCGTGCAACCTTTTCACCCGAAGTACCTTTTTCCCCGGTGAAAAGGTCCAAAAAAGGCTACGGATCACGCCCTTAAAGTAGGAAATTGGATAAAGTGTATAAAGCGTCAAGAGGGAAACGGGTATGTGTGGGTAGGTAGGATTTCCCTTTACCAAACACTGCCCAAGACCTTTAACATGTCCTGAAAGTCACCAGGAACTCCCAAACCCGTTACAGGATCCCACCCCTTCTTCGCATCCCATCCTCCCAGAATAACATTTCCGCTCTTCTCTCCCTTTCCCACTCCAACCTCCCCTTCCCAATCACCTTCCTCTTCATCTCCCTTACCCTCCTTTTCTCTTCCGCGTATACTGCCATCCTCCGTCGAGTTCCCCTGCCTCTTCTCTACAAGACTGTGCCTTCGGTCTTTCCCCTTCCCCTTGCCTTTCCTCTCCTCAAGCACCTCCCCAGGAAAGACACATCCCTCACTTCGTCCCCACTTCACATCCTCCAGCACCCCCCTCACCCTTGGGTCCGAATACAAATGTCCATTCAACCACCCCAGGCTCCTCTTCCCTTGTCTCAAGCGTTGATCATTCACAAGCGCCACCATAGCCGCCACCACCGGCGTTGACGCACTCGTCCCGCGTACTTCCACCATCTCTCCGCGGTACACGATCTGGAAACCCGAGCCAATGGCAGCAATGTCTGGCATACCGCGCCCGTTGTGGGAGAAGTAGACTCCTTTCGGATCACGGGGCTGGCTTGGTTGACCCGGTTTGCTTGACTGAGAGCGGAAAAGGCTGGATACGTAAGGGTCCACTGCCGCTCGCTGCCAGTGAGGCCGATCAAAGTACTCGCTGAAGCCACCGCTAGAAAACGCAGCGCCGGTAAGGTTAAGTGCAGTGTTGTCAGTTGCTCCTACACTGGTAACCCAGGGACAGGAAGCAGGGAACGTGGGCACGAATGCCCGTCTACCCGATCCATCGTTTTTGATGCAAGTGTCGCCGCCTCCGGCCGAGAAGCCAATACCTGCTGCTCCCCCGTCGCCAGTTGCCACAAGAACGGAAGTACCGCGTGCTGCCAAGGCAGCAAACAGGTCGCATACTCTGTGAGCGTATTTTCGCGGAACAGATTGTTCGTCGTCTGCATAGCTGATGCTCAGAACGTGCGGTATTTGGTTGTCAGGTAAAGCAAGAAGGGCTTGCAAGAACTCAAGGAAGGGCTCGTTGTTCGCTCTAGGATCGTTCGTAGGGAGGGGACGGCCGGAAGAATCGAGTTTGGTCCCGCGCCCACCAGTGGCGTAGTAAATCACTTGAGTAGGATGACCCAGACTGAGAGCGTATTGCACGTCGAGGTTGGCTTCAAGACCAGAGAGGGCGGGGTCGGTGGAGTGCGGATCCCAACGGGTGGCGTTGTTAAGGAGGGTTATGGTGATGTTGTAGGGAGGCTCGGTGGTGGTGTTTGTGACGGGAGGAAGCGTAAGGCTACCCCCACTGCCGCCCCGGGACGGAGTGGGTGTGGGGGGGAGCAGTTCAGGTGCGTAGGTGGCCAGGAAGGAGGTCACATCGCGGTGAGTGATGTGTTGTTCCAAGAAACCAGCGATGCCGAAACGCACGGGGGAGGGGGAGTGAGAGTCGAGGGGTTGAGTGTAGGTGAGGTTATAGAGCTTGCGAATGCAACCGGGGAATGTGCCGGTCCAGCAAGGAGGGGCAAAGAAGTCCTCTCGGGCGGACAATTCGAGTTGAGTTGGCTGGCGTCGGCTGAGGCGGAGGGTACTGTCGTTGCGGTGGCGAGGAGGCATGAAGTGTGTAAGTGGGTAGACGAAGTCGATGTCGTCGTTGAGCCACTTGGGGATCGTGTAAGAGCGGGCACGAAGGATCTGGGTGATGGGGTCACCGTTGTATGAGTAGTAGGCTAGGTCGGCTTCAAAGAGCACCTGGACTGTAGCAGCTGTAGTGTCGAAGGTGATCCAACTATTGTCCGCATTGTGGCTTTTGATACCGTGGGACTGTAGCCAACGGCCCACCGCTGTGACTGACTTCTGGTCTGGTTGACGGTGTTGCTCAACCTCTTCCTTTGTAAGATGACGGCTGTTGGGGTGGCTGTCAGATGTAGATTGCTGTAAGAGACGTCTTTTCAGCTCTTCTATCCCGGGTTCTTTCAGCGCTATGGACAGTTGTATCCGATCGGAAGCGGTGGCATGGCGATCGACCCTCCACCCCGCCGGTAGATGGCCCGCTTCTTCAAGAACGATTCTTGAGGCAGTAGCCAACGAAGAGAGAAGAGCAAAGAGCCTGAAAGCCCAAAGGTAAAACTGGAACATCGTGACTACAGAAAGAAAGAAGGCGAAGCGAGCAGTGATTTTGAAAACTTTTGCCGTACCTTGATGATAGCACCACTGTCGTTGTCTAGCCACGCGCAGATGGTGTTGCCGGTTTATATGTCTGGCGCATGAACACCTGGCCAGATTTGATGCGCTAATGCTGAACCCGAATGCTTCGTGATGTATGGTCTGACGATGTAGAGGCCTGTCAATAAAATGGATCCGCAGACACGGTATGCGTGGTGGACGTGATCGCTTCCCCGCGTCGATTTCTACCTGGATTCAGGAAGATTTGGCCGTCGCTCATGACCAGAAGATGCTGCTGAGATCTTGGTTGCCAAGGGAATGGTACATGGAGGCTCAATGTTTCTAAATTTGGAAGACCAATATACTGGCGCTGACACCGCTGGGACAGTAATATGTAGCTGCGTTGTGGTGTGGTGTCGAGAGTCGAACCGAGTTGGTGAGCCGCGGGCGCTAGATTCAGCCGCGAAGGCAGAAAGCCTGTATGGGAGCATTGGTGGGTATATCGACAGTCACAGGGCAACGGAAGAAGGGAGTTTGCCTCTTGATACAGTAAGAGTATTGCTGTTCATAAATAGAGGACAAGCTTCCAGACCCTTAACAGAGTCGTAGGTCCATGGTATCTAGCTGACACTTGGCAGTCGCAAAGAAACGCCGATATGAGCAATTGTTCGGAACGGCTAGAGTGCCACGGTACCAGTACCCTCGGATACCACCTCAGGCTTCCTATTGACTTCGCCTCCAGCGTTTATTGCTTGTATTCCCCACCGAGGATCCTCCGCGACCGCGCTTCCAAATCGGTTCAATAGTGTTCCGACGGATACTGGGCCAATGACCGTATTGAGCACGATGGCCCAAACTGCAATGACAAAGGCCTTCCGCGACAGGTACGGTGTCTCGTTCAAGCCGATTTGGATGATGAGAAGTCCAATCTCGCCGCGCGCGACCATGGCAGTACCAAGGAAGGCTGCTGAGGACCAGTTTGGTCTTGCTGGGGGTGTCGAAAGCGCTTTCTCTGAGGGGTCCGGCTTCCTGTTTGCGATGAGATCCCACAATGGGACCACTAGGCCGACAACCAACTTGCCAGAAACCATGAGGATGGTAAAGACAATGCCCTTCCAGATGACCTCCCCTGTCCAAAGTTCGATAAATGGAATGGAAAAGCCGATGCTGGCGAAGAAGCATGGTTGAAGTATGAAGCGCTGTGCATCTTGGATGTATCGCTCGAACGTGTCGCCGAATGTTGGCCTCTTTTGTTTCGCGTTGTTATCAAGGTCGGTCGTGTCGCTTACTTCACTGTGGCGGACATGCTGCTTGCTAGGCAAACTCGACACCACTGTCCCGGCCAGGAATGCGCCGAACAAAACGCTTGCGCCGGCATAGGCAGCAATGGCCAGAAACGCGCAAAGAACCAGCACCATCAGGACCATGTTCGCGACGTGCCCGAACTTCCGGAAGAAACGCGTCTCGATAGCTGGCAGGCGGAACAGGGGGCCGAGAACAAACTTGGCTGCGAGAGGCGTCAGGATGGCCATGAGGCCACTGGCAAGGATAGGCTGCCCTATGACCCAGCCCAGGTTCGCATTCTCGATGTCACGCAGCTGGGAGATGACACTGACAAGGACCAGACCGCAGACATCGTCGAGAATGGCGGCGCTGATGAGTACAGTGCCGACACGGGTCTGGGCAAAATCGTGCTTTGACGAGGCGCTGTTTATGACGACGAAGGTGGTCCCAAGGGAGGTAGAGCACAGAGCAGTGCCGACGATGAAGGCTTCGAGAGGGCCTGTCGTTGGGTTAGCAAGATGTCTTTGACTAGGATAAAAGGGATAACAGACCATAGCCAAAGCCAGCATAGAACAAGGCAAACGTCAAGGCAATCGGGGTGAGCACACCAAGAAGCGCCGCGCTGGTGCTAAGGAACAAGTTTTGCCAAAGGAGATCCAGGCGAATGGTCAAACCACCTTCAAAGATGATGATGACGAGGCCAATGTAGCCCAAGGCGAGAAAGGTTTCCTGCCATTCCAGAGCCAGGATGTTGCCAATGGGGACGCCGTAGATGAGGCCAACAATGATTTGGCCAATGAGCCCCGCTCGGAGCACCTTGTCGGCCACCCATTCAGACACGGCAAGAAAGAAGAAGAAGGAGATTAAGATCAAGATGCTGACGACTGGGGGAAGGAGGAGGAAAGGTCAGCCGGTTGTTCCTCGTTGGAGGGAGCGAGTGACAACTGAAGCGATAATTGGAAGGGAACGTACTGTCTGGTTCATGATATTCGAGGAAGGCGCCATTTCCTTGGGCGCTCATTTGGGGCGTATCGCAAACAGCACTCCAGCTTGACCAATGTTGCGCAGCGCGGGGGAAGCGCTGCTGTGGTATAGTAACGAAGCTTGGAGTAATTGAGTAAGAAATAAAGCAGTGATATGCAAGAGAAAACCCACGAAGCACCAGATGGATGTTTTGTTACGTAGGTCGTGACTGCAAATGTGAATTTCACGCGATGACGACGATGTTGTTGTTTCCTCCAGTTCTGTCACAGCGCAATCAGAAGGTCAAGTGCCTGCAGTCTTGGCGGTCTGTCCAACTGCTTTCTCGGCGGAGAGGTCTGTGCCTTTCTGTAAGCACGGGCCACACAACGGCGAAAAGACGTCGCCGAGTGGACGTTCCTTGGCAGACTCTCGATTTCTGGCACTCCGAGTCGGACTGCAAGAATGCTCCATTTGATGGCAGCGAACCCAAGCCGACTCTAGTCCACCAAATGCTCTCATTGCACTCCGCGCATTCAAGCACTTCCACTTTCACACTTTCTGCGTCCTCATCCCCATTATTGTTGAGCGCGCCCTCAAGATGTGCTGACCACTGCAGGTCATAGTGTGCCGCTGTCTGTCACTGTCGCTGACGGGGGCTGTCTGCTCTCACCACTCCCGGGTTAGGGTTGGAGGTTATCCAACATGAACAACATCATCGAAGACACTCTCCCGTGATGATCCCATTCCACGCACCAAGAGGATCATTGTGCCGAAAAATGCCTCCTGGATGATCTAACATTATGCCAATGTACTCTCTTCCCGTCAGTATACGTTAGGCTTACCGGCGTCATCATTTGCTCTGTCTGCTCTTCATTTTCCCCAGCCAGAGCCAAACTAGGTAGGGAAGGCGACATTCCTGGTTCCCTCAAGCTCACACCGACGTGTGACAGTCGTGGCCGACCCTACTCCGAAACGCTGTAAGTATCTCATTCCAATTGGGCGGGAAACCCCCGCTAATCGTTCCCTTGATCGGTCCCCTTAGCACATCCCCTCAAACCCATACCACTACTAGCTCAACAGAAACACCATACACTTATACAAGGGGCATAACATACCCCTGAAAACCCTCCGCCATGAAGCTGGTCTTCACGCTCGCAACCTCCGCCCTCCTGGCGACGGTCCCCGTCATCGCCTCTCCCATTATCCCCAACACCGCGAAAAGAACATCGTCACTGTTAGCGCCACAACCGTCTCCAACATCATGCATCCCACCACTTCGATTGTTGCTCTTCGATCGGAGGTGTCAGAAACTGCTGAAAAGTCTGACACGGACGTTAATGAGTCTGACAAGTCTGACGAGTCCAATTATACCACGTCTGACTCTGAACACGAGATCTCCGACAAGGATGCCTCCTCCTCTTCCGAATCTCACCTGAACTTCCTCACCCGCCGCAGTGGTCTCCCGAAAGGGCTCCACTGCGCTCACCACGGTGCTTTATGGTTCGCCGGCTGCATAAAGAATGATCCCTAAGATTGCTGGTGTAACTACGTTAAGGCGTGGAGTGTCACTTGGCACCGCGAAAGGCCTGTTCGTGATAGCGACGGCCAACCTTACATCAAACGTGGGGTGGATAGGACGGCATTCAATGACACGGAGAAGGTACGGGAAGGATGGAGATGAAGCACGTGGACAAACTTAAAGCTCGTGACAGGCCCAAGGTGGTGTAGGTGCCGACGAAGGGGAAAGTTGATCGAAGCTTGGGGCCTTGGAAAGGGGGCTGAATATGGGTCCGCACCGGGTTGCTATCCCTGGAGCTGGGGAGATGATGCAGATGCTGATACGGGTGCTTATGCGGTAGTTGATGAGCGCCAAGGCAATGCCGGTGTCGAGATAATGGGTGTCATTGTATGACCTGCAATTCGAGTTTGAGGGCTTGTGGGAAGGTTGAGTAAATGGAAGTAATGATGAACAGTAGCAGACTCAGAAAGTGATGATCTGGGGAGAGAATGGAGGAGCGGAGGCAAGAAGTGGTGGGAGTAATGTGAGGGGGTTTGGTGGATTGGGGTTTTCATATGCATAACTCTTTCGAGTTGACAAAACCGGTACACTACCGTATCATTGTAGTATCTCGCGAAATCCAGATTCCAGGTCAGTCCAGCAACGCAGGGTTAATCAGCTGTTCACTTCAGTGATCACGTACATCAGCCAAACGCAAGCGTACGCAAATGGCAAACTATGAACGCTGCGTTGCCAGACTGATCTGGAACTGCACCTGGATTCCCTGGAAAACTGAAGTCTAAGATAATACAGTACCTGTCGGAATCTCGATGCAGCGACGACAGCGGGAGGACGCCTCGGTGAGTGATGTTCACCTAAGACGGAAATAATGGCTCACCACTCGAAGTATGCAGGCACGCCCGGATCTCTGACACTGCCGGCCTGTCTAAACTGGAAAGAACAAAGGGTCATAATCGTCCAGCTGGTAGGTGTTGGTCAGTTGCCTGCCTCATCGATACCAGGTGGAAGTCGCTGCATGTATGCCACTCGGACTTTCCCCAACTTTCTCTGATGTGCAGATGAATCCTTTCTTTTTTTCTTGCCAGCAGCAGTCTAACTCGCGTCTGTGACGCAACATTTAGCGCTTACGACTCTACTCTGGCTCCTCTGTGATAGCAATGACAACACCGTTATTCACTTGATCTCCAGAACAACTCAATGACCAGAACGTAACATTACCTCTGGGTACCGTATAGACTCGGACCATCCGTTTTCAGCTAAGCATTGCAGAACGCGCAAATCTCTTCCAAAACCCAAACCCTAAGGCACGCCAGTTACGTTTCTGTAATCGCCATTGGTAAAGCTGCCAGTTAGGCCTTGGAACCTAAAAACGGATGGCCCGAGTCTATACGGTATATCACCGTTCAACCTCTCTGGAAATGCTGCATCATGAACACTGCCCAGTAGGTCTTGCCCTGAGCTGATAACTCAACCTGAGAACTACAAGCTTTGAATGGATCGAGAGTCGAGCAGTCTGTTCAACAGTTTTTCTTTCATCCTGGACTTGGAAGTTCATGATGGCTGATGGCAGATGGATGCACGAAAAACGTGTTGCTGCATCAATGCCCATGATTTGGCATATCGCCACCAAGAAAACAGGATGTAGCCAAGGACAGGCCAGAAATACGAATGGAAATGCCACGAAGCAAGTTGAGGACACATCGAAACCCTACCTCCATGTATTTTGATCCGCCCAGCTTGCCCAGGCCACAAACTTTGTCCCTTCCAACTGAAGTTCCTCATCCTCAAAACGACTTCATTCTTCCTCAATACATCCAACTCATTCCCCCGCCAATAATCTGACCAACTCCATCATCATCACGACCTCACCATGGTTACCATCACAATGTTCCTTCTCGTCTACGTCGCCCTGCTGTTCGGGCAAATCCCTTCTTCCTTTGCTGCCCCCGAAGCACACATCGAGGGCATACAAACAACCACCAGATCTTCCACCCTTACGGTTGGGGCACCGTCTCCCAAGAGCGTGGAGACAGTCACTGTCCACGATACCCCGGCCCCATCTCCAAAGACAGTAATCAAGGTCGAACAGCCTGTGAACTCGGCATCGCCACCCGCTGGAACCAAGACCGTGATCAAATCCACCAAGACGCCGGTTGACTTGACCGAGGATTACAGTACTCGGTATCCGTGGGATCAGAACGGACTCAAGAGGAAAATAGAAATTAGGGATGTCGGAATTCAGGAGATAGAGGTTCCTTCGGGTTGGACGCCTCCTGCGGGATTCCCAACTTCCTTCCCGTATGGCAGGATTGGCAAGAGGGAAGAAAGAGACGTGGAGAGTGCCGATATTTACACGTCGTATAGGACGTTTACGGTTATTCCGGTGAGTTGACAAACTTGTCTTTTCTTTTCTCCTGGTTCTTGTTGCTCGAAGCAGGTTGGAAAGCGCCATGACCGATTCCTGTCTTTCCGAGGAATGAAACTCCTGCTACTCACACCTCACTCATCGGTTCCCTTCACCCTTTCCATCCTACCTACCCTCCCCGACTGTTCCTCCCCCTATAATCCCCTACCCAATCCCCTTCGACTCTAGTCCCAAATCATCCCATACCGTTAACACCCCTTACAATGATCCCCTCCACTCCTCCCACTCGTCCTTTCTCTTAAACTTCCGCAGTCAACATAGTATAGTGCAACTAACAAACAACCACACTACTAAAGCCCCCCGTCGCTGCCCCTCCTCCTCCTCCTCCTCCTCCCTCTCAGCCCCAGGCCCCACAGCTTCTCCCCGGCCAAATCCCCACCACCCGCTCCGACATCGACAACATCGTCGTCAAGCAAGGCGAGTGGGAACCTGCGGACATCAAGCAACTCCACATTTTTGGCTGGGACGCCGACCACCCGGAGCTAGTAGCGATAGGCGGCAAGTATGCGAATATGGTGTCTACGCTTGTCAAGTCAACGCCACCGCCGCCACCTCCTTCAGCAGCTCCCCAACCGCAACAGCAGCAACAACAACAGCCTTCTGCTCAGCAGCAACAGCAGCAGGGAGTGCCACATGGAACATATACCATTGGCACAACCACCGTGCAGACGTTCGAGACGGTTGTTACTAAGGTGCGTACGTGGACATCTACCATAGTTATACCAGATGCAACATCAATATCAGTATCAGGAGCTGCACAACCTGCACCTGCACCATCGATGTTGACGAGCCTGGTTACCATCCCTGCTGGACAGTTGGGGGGACTTAATAAGGAACCGACGGTTTTATCGGTTTTGGTGCCTGTTGAGAAACCTTCGGCTGCTGCTGCTGCTCCTGCTCCTGTGGCTTCGGCTTCGGCTGCCAACACTCCCGCTGTCCCTGCTGCTCCAGCTCCTCCTCCTCCCCCTCCCCCTCTTGCTGCTCCTCAGGTAATCTCTACTTCATACAAAATTCTTTCCCTTGTACACAACACTCCCGCCGCTCCAGCTGCCCCTGCTCCCGCCGCTGCTCCTGCTACAACTCCCGCCGCCGCTCCTGCTCCTCCTGCTACAACTCCAGCTCAGGTAGAGCAAGCACCCAGCTCGAACTCGGCCTCAGCATCGGTAAACGAGCAATCGGCATCGGTATCACAAGGCTCACAGGCTCAGGCCCAGGCCCAAGCACAAGCACAAGCACAAGCACAAGCACAAGCCCAGGCCCAGGCACAAGCACAGGCCCAGGCACAGGCGAGCCCAAAGGTACAGGAGGAGAAGATGGAGGGGGAGAAGAAAAAGGGAGATAATGTGTGGGGAACGGTGGTGCCGGGCCAGAATGTGGTTGTGGGTGGGAAGACGATGGAAGTTATGACGGTTATGGCTGGTGGGCCTTAGGATGGAGGTAAGTTCGCCTCCTCCAGCCTTCCAGCCTCTGGCCCTAGGCCCTAAGAAGAGGAGGAGAAAAGGGGGCAGGGGTTCCAGGTGAAGTTTGTTCTTTGAGGTACCTACCTATCGTTGGTACTTTCGAGGTAGTAATACCTACTCAGGTGCTTCCTCTCCTTAGGTCCAACGTAAAGGGACCTTTGAAACTTGGTGATGAGGTACATCAAGTACCAGGAAGGCGTTAGTGGGATATGGCCATCGATGGCTAAAGACCAAAGAATGAGAGGGGAGATACGTTCAGTAACAAATAAGGTGTCGTGTATACGTTCGGAGAGGCCGGGAAGTAAACGAGAGAAACAAGGTTTTCCGTAGGTAGTCTGGTAGGAGTACGGTAGGTAGTTCAGCAAATTGATGGTTTTCTTTTTCTTTTTTTCCTTTTTCTTCTTCTTTTTGTTACTGTATCCCCTGTTGATTGTTGCGATCAGTAAACGGCAAACTGGGACGTTTCTGACAGTTTGACGATACCTGTAGGTATTAGTGTGGTAGTATTTAGGTAGCGATATACCCAGAGCGCTAAGGGAGTGTCTCTGTGAAGCGAAGGCGACGTGGCATTCTACACTACAAGTAGGTAGTTGTAGATATATGGCATACTTGACGCTGACTAGACTGTTTCCATCGCTCATGGCTGTCCATCCCTCATAATTGCCCGCCGATCGAGTGACATCTGTGAGTGAGTGAGGAGGTGAGTGAATGGGAGCCAGCGAACTGGTGGTGATTTTCCGTATTCATACCTCTAGGGTACGACCCATAAGTGAGTGAGTGAGAGTGGACTGGTCGTGATTATACAATTTGTACAATTTGTACATTCCCGAAAATCGGTACCAGACGGAGCACGGTGTCCGTACCTCTACCTCTACCTAGAACCGTTTGCCCCTGGACATTCCGCTTCGTTTCCAATGATTCCCCGCAAACTACCAAATGGTAATCCTCTATGTAGCTGTCCTCGCCACGCTGTCGATAGGATAGGTAAAGGTTCATCGCCACGCTGTCGATAGGATAGGTAAAGGTTCAAGAACATGTCATGTCTGTGAGAGTTAACAATGGCTGTGCATTTGAAGCCTACCATAGTCAACGAAATTGATGATGGAATCTGTAAAACCTGCCGGCGGCATCTCCCAGGGGCAATGGATCTCCCACCCACCCGGCCAGCTGCATGCAACAACGCCTGTTGATTGTTCTGTTCCATAACAGCACTTCCAGGGGCAATCAATCAAGTCCAGTCCGGCGGGCCCGGCCCGTTCGACCGCTCGCTATATAGGTCGCGCGTTCGGGAACAGCGGGAGATGATGGGTACGGGGTGTCGGGTGTGGAATGTGGATGTGGATACCCAAGGTACTATTGTATATTGTATATTGTATAATTAGAAGAGGGAATCCACCCTTCCTGAAACCTGTCGCTACATCCGGTGGTCCGCGTGGTTTCCATGGTTAGGTATCTTATCTCGTTGGCATTGGCTGATCTGGGTGTGATGGGAATGTAGCTGATGCATTTAGGGACGATACCATGATCGCGAAGACCCAGCAGCATAAGCATTGGAAAGCAGCGTACAGGTATGAACAGAGGGGAAAGGGGCCATTACATGAACAAAACGAGAAATCATTCAAGGTCATGATAGTTATACATTATTGCTAGGAAACAAACAGGAACAAGCAGCTTTCAACCAAAGGCCAGTAACTTTTTTTTTTTTTTGAATGAGGTTTCGCCCGAGCAAAAAACTGAAACCTCTCGGTATGGATATCGATAGTGCGTATGTATATAGTAGTAACAACAATGGCTCCCAACTCCACTTCCTTCCGTCATGGCCGCGACGATTTGTTTGTTATAGTCCTGGTTGAAACTAACTCCACCCATTTCCGTCATGTTCCGATGATACAACGAACGATTCGGCCACTTTTTGGTCTACTATCTCCACCAATTGTGCTGACCCGTTCCCATGTAGAGACACCCAATTGCGCATGTGAATGTCGCTAGAGAGCGAAGACAGCGTAGTCGGTTAGAGACGTAAAAGAAAAATGCGCCGCTCGCTTCAGTAACACTTCTCTAAGCTATCGCTAGTGTAGAGAAATGCACTTATTTGCCGGGGTTGGCGGCGACAAAGTCCTTGCCCTTCTGGATGTTCTTCTTGAGGTCAACAAGGCAAGCATCAAGGAGCTTCTGCTCAACCTCATCGACGGGGCCGACGGGGTAGATCTTCTCAACACCGTTGGGGCCGAGCTCGACCTTGGAGGCGAAGAAGTCGATGCCCTGGTCCTTGTAGAGAGGGGAGTCGACAAAGGTGGGCTCGATGACGCCCTTCTCGCCCTGAGCGGCGCGGAGGAGGGACTCGGCCATGCGGGCACCGGCCATGGCCATGGAGAGGGTGGCGGAACCGGCACCGTCCTTGGCCTTGACGACCTCGTCACCGCCGAACTGGACGCGGTGGATGAGCTGCTCGTTCTTGGAGAGTTCGGGGTGCTTGCTCTGGGAGAAGAGGGGAACGATGGTGACGCCGGAGTGGCCACCGACAACGGTGATGTTCTCGTCCTTGGGGTCGGTGCCCTTGATCTCGGAAACGAAGCGGGAGGCGCGGACGACGTCGAGGGTGGTGACACCAAAGAGGCGCTTGGGGTTGTAGACACCGGCCTTCTTGAAGATCTCGGAGACGATGGGGACGGTGGAGTTGACGGGGTTGGAGATGACGAGGATGTTGGCCTCGGGGCACGACTCGGCGCAGGCCTTGGCGAGGTCGCGGACGATGGAGGCGTTGGTGTTGAAGAGGTCGTCACGGGTCATGCCGGGCTTGCGGGGAACACCGGCGGGGATGAGGACGATTTCGGAGCCCTTGAGGGCATCGGCGAGACCGGAGGCGGTGGGCTCGTAGCCCTTGACGGTGCTCTTGGTGTTGATGTGGGAGAGATCAGCACCGACACCGGGGGCGCCACGGATATCGTAGAGGGCGAGCTCGGAGACTCTGGGGTTGAGCTTGAGGAGGAGGGAGAGGGGCTGGCCAATGCCACCGGCGGCACCAAGGACGGAGACCTTGGTAAGCTGTAGTGTTGTGGTGGTGATGTTAGCAACGTGTGGTCTCGAGCTTGGAGGAGCTTGCTGGCTGACAAGCACATGATAATTGCTCATGGAGGACAACAACAACAACAACAACAACAACATACCTGGCGGGCAGAGGCCGAGAAGGCACGGGTCTGGATTCTGGAAGCGGCGAACATGGTAGCTATGGTGGACGGCGTGACGGGATGTGTGACGACGGTTGGGAGAGAAGAGAGAGAAAGGAACAAAAGTTGGAATGTCGGCGCGCGCGAAATGTTGATGAAGCTGTGCAACGAATTGTCTCGTTCCTGGGCCCGCCCAATCCGGCTTAGCGCAGCCGTTCAACATTTCGGAATGGTCGGCTGGGGATACCCCGCCCTTTCCAGCTTGTGCGCTGTGGAGGCCCAAGCCAAGCCCCCTGACACTGTGAACATGGCGCCTGAGGCAGCAATGACAGCACCTCCCAACGAAGTCACTTGTCGCTGAGGACAATGAGACGGGAGACTTGGGGAAGTTCGATGGTCTGTGCACTCATTCGTTTTACTTATGTACAAGGAACGCCAACCAGCCAGCAATCATACCACGATAGGTATGTTGCATCCGGGCAAAAGGGTCAGTTCATCCCGAAGAGCCTCGATAATTTTCAGGGTGTCAACGGAATTTGCGTCTGTCAATTGGGGAAAATGTTGGGGTCAAAGAAGCATCACAACAACCGCTGAACACACAACTCTCTAATCTGCTTCATAGTCTATCCTAGTATATGTATTGTACAGCAACGATTCTATCACAACTTCCCCCTATTATAAACATGTAGTTTAATTGGTCTTAAAACATATCCAGTTTACTCACCCCATCTTCTAACCCTCAGGTAGTCAAGTCATAACAGTCATCAAGATGCCACATCATGACCACAACTATCAAGCACTCCCTCCCATTCGCGCCCGCAGCCTCCTCTCAAACTCGGCCACCTTCTCCATTCTTGCCTTCTCCTCTTCTTCCTCCTTCTTCCTCTTCACCTCCTCCAACTTCTTGAGCTCCTCCGCCTTGCGCAGCCTCTCCCTCTCGAGCTGGTCCTCCCTGCGCACCGCAATGTCGCGAGCCTTGAGATCGCTGAACAGGTACTTGAAGACAACCTCAATGAGCCAGCACGCCACGTAGTCGAGGATCATGACAACAGTCATCGTCCACTTAAACTCATCCTTGAAGGGCACGAGCTTCATCGCCTCGTTCAGCTCGGGCACCATCTCGGTGGAGCAAGCGAAAGCAATGGCAGTGACACCAACAATGCCGTAAAACATGCCCTTGTTCTCAGACAGAGACTCGCGGAAGGGACGGCCTTGGTAGTTGACAGCAAAAGTAGAGATCTGCTGGATGAGCTGAAGGAGGTAGACGGCAGAGTTGAGCAGCGAAGGGGAGAACTCGGCCTCAAGGTCGACGCTCTCGGAGCGAGGATCGAGCTGGTCGCAGAAGCGAGCAATGTAGATAAGAGTGACCACGTGCACGGCGAACTGGCCGAGGATGGAGCCGATAATGTAAAAGTTGAAGATGTTGGGCTGGGGACGCTCCTTGGAGAGACCCTCGACCGACTTGGCGCGCGAGATGGAAAGGAAGCAGACGCTCATAAGCATACCGCTGATGGTAATCTGGCCATCACCAAACTTGATGCCCTCAAGGTAAAGGACAGACAAGCTGTAGGCGCTGATCAGGCAGTTGAGGGCGAGAATCTTGTACATCTGGATGGTGGCAACCAGAGTGCAGCGGCCTTGACGAATGATGTTGGGAATGGCAACAACGTTGCGAAGCTTGGACGTGAAAGGAGCAGCGACCGAGGCATCACCAAGCTTGAGCGTGGGAGGCTCATCGTCATCCATTTCCATATCCATCATACCAGAGGTAAGCTTGTCAGCAAACGAGGAAGCCTTCTGAGC